CGAGAGGATCGACAAGTGCGAGAGCCTCTATCCGTCCTGGTCCGCCCTCGTGGCCGAACACAGTTCTGCCAAGTCGCCTCTGTTCGAGGAGGCCTACGAGTCCATTGTCTCGTGGCACAACACAAACGAGCTCATCGCCATTGAGCTTGCCATTCTCAAAAAGTGGGTGGGCAACGATGATCTGGACTTTTCCCGGACACGCCAACGCTCTCCCGTTGGCAACGGCATCCCCGACGAGACCTCCTTCCTCGATCGGCTCATGAAGGAAGACGGCCTCAAGTCGCTCTACGACGAGGACCGCAACGACGACAAGCACAAGGTCGTCCAGAAAGGCATGCTCGCCGGCATCTCCACCGTCATCAACAAGTCGAAGGAGACGCTGATCCGCAACTTTGCCGCCTTCCAGAAACGCCACCTTCCGCCGTACATCGAGGAGCTCCTGACCCTCATCAGCTTCCCGTCCCGCCTCATTGAAGAGATCATCAAGATGCGACTCGCCTACGCCAAGAAGGTGAAGGAGTCGGCGCAACAAAACTCGCTGATGCAAGACCAGATGATCTCGCAGTTCCAAACCCTGCTCCAGCTGGCCATCCGCATCAAGCTCGAATACCTGGCCATCGCCCAGCCCGAACCCGGCTGGGACCTTCCGCCCATGATCGATGACTCGTTTGACCAGGTCGTCTTGGATGCCCTGAAATACTACTTCAAGATGCTCAACTGGAAGCTGAGCGGCAACAAGAACACGTTCAAGGAGGCCGAGTTGCTGTTCGCAGAGTGGGGCTTCGGCAACGAGATCGGAAGCCACTTGCAGGGTGGCAATGTCGAAGTCGCCGAGCAGTTTAGCTCTCTGACCTTCAAAGCCCTCAACCGACTGAGCATCACCTTTGAGCGAGAGCTGCAGGTCAAGCCGAGGGAAACCGTGGCCGAGATGAGCAAGCGATACAAGCAATGTCTCGACTCTGTGCGGGTGCGTCAGCGTATGCTGCAACGCTTCTCCAGAATGTTGAGCGACAACTACGAGAATGCTTCCGACTTTAGCATAGCATACACACCAGACAAGCTGCGCGAGTTTTACGACAGACTCATCACGTCTGGCCACGTCCAAGTGTTTACCGACCTGTACGAGCAAGAGGGCATCTTCATCATCGCTTCCTCCTCCCTGGCTGAGCGACATGAGGACATCCAGTCGATACTCGGGTTCACGTCGGCTGACCAGTTCCTCGACGATGGCAGCGACCCGTATCTGCTGATTCTCCGACCCGAAGACCCGCCTCACTGGTTCGGTGATGTCGTGCCCTTGGCTGTCCGGGAGCGGAATATTGACCTCAAAAAGGGCCATGTGCGTCTCGTCGCTGCGGGCACAGAGGCACGGCTCGCCAGTGCGCGCAGAGCGTTCCTCGAGTCTGTCGACATGCATGTCGATCTCGTCGTCGAGTCACGATCCAATCTGCACAAAGTCAACACGAGGTTGATGGAGATTCGCCGCGTCGCCTACAAGCTGTCCAACAACTTCATGGACAGTGTCGAGACGATCCGCAAGCAGACAGTGGGCAAGGACTGCCAGGAGCTCATCCAGACATGCTTCATCTTCGCGACCGAGTTTGGTCAGCGCTCCCTTCTCTACATGGACAGCAACAGGAAACAGATGAACAACCTCAAGCTGACCAAGCTCGCGCTGGACTGGGTGTCGTTCATCTGCGACGACTGCATCGCGTCCGACCGCAAGACATTCCGCTGGGCCGTGCTGGCCCTGGAATTCGCCATGAGCATGACCAGGGGCCGCTCCATTCTCGCGCTGGGCGAAGACGAGTATGCGAAGCTGCGGTCCAAGGTGGCTGGCTGCATGTCCCTGCTCATCTCGCACTTTGACATCATGGGGGCGCGGTCCAACCTCGCAGCACAGGCCGAAAAGGAGCGCGTCGAACTTTTGTTTGGCCAGTACAGGCGTCTTGACAAGAACAGCATGATGGACGACGACAAGGCTTCGCAGTACATCACGGAGCAGCGCGTCGAAAAGCTCGAGCACGTGGATGAGACGAGGCGCACGAGGGAGGCCGAACGCCAGGCGCTGGGACGCGTTCTGGAGGCCAACAATGAGGTCGATCGGTCGTTGGCCTACCTCTCTTCTTCGGCGACCAATGTCACGATGCGCTGGCAGCAGGGGCACTTTGTGGGCGGAGGTACTTTCGGAAACGTCTACGCGGCCATGAACCTGGACTCGGGCCACCTCATGGCTGTCAAGGAGATCAGGCTGCAAGATCCGAAGCTTATCCCGACCGTTGCCGAGCAGATCAAGGACGAAATGGGTGTTCTGGAAGTGCTGGACCACCCCAACGTCGTATCCTACTACGGCATCGAAGTCCACCGCGATCGCGTCTACATCTTCATGGAGTTCTGCGACGGAGGCTCCCTCGCGCACCTTTTGGAGCACGGCCGCATCGAGGACGAGCAGGTCATCATGGTCTACACGCTGCAACTCCTAGAGGGACTGGCGTATCTCCACGAAAGCGGCATTGCTCATCGCGACATCAAACCTGAGAGTGAGTTGTCATTCCTTCCCCGGCATCTTCCTCACCTGTATTCTAACGCCATAACGTAGACATACTCCTTGACCACAACGGCATCATCAAGTACGTCGATTTTGGCGCTGCCAAGGTCATTGCGCGACAGGGCAAAACACTCATTCAAGCCATGGACGAGGCGAAGCCCAATAAGTCCATGACCGGCACGCCCATGTACATGTCTCCCGAGGTCATCAAGGGTGAAAACCCTGGCCGCGCCGGAGCCGTGGACGTCTGGTCCCTCGGCTGCGTCATCCTCGAGATGGCCACCGGCCGACGCCCCTGGGCCAACCTCGACAACGAGTGGGCCATCATGTACAACATTGCGCAGGGCAACCCCCCTCAGCTGCCTGGCACCGACCAGCTCAGCCCGCAAGGCATTGATTTCCTCAAGGGCTGCTTCCTGCAGGATCCGAAGAAGCGCATGTCGGCTGTCGAGCTGCTCCAGCACGAGTGGATAATGACCATCCGCAACCAGGTCGTCGAGCCGGCGACACCGAGCGACGGAAGCGTAGCGACGCCCGCGTCCAGCGTTTCGAGGGCCAACACGGGTGATGGCTTCTACTAGGCGCACAAGCCCTCCTTGTCGACGCCCTCGGCGGACATGATCCTGGCCGCGCGACGCGGGCGGAGCAGTTCCACGGCGAGTGGGACGGGCGGTGCCTCCCTCTTCCCCCGGTGGGAGAGGACGTCGGCCTCGCCCGTCGTCACCTCTGCGCCCTGCACGCCGGCCGCTGAGCCGGACTCTGTCATCCGTCAGCTCTGGGGACCTACGTCGTCTCCCTGCGCACCGGCGTCTCCAACCCCTTCCATATCTTCCCCTCCTCCGCCATGACACCGACACCTCTTTCGCCTCGAACATGGTACCTTTTTCAACTCTTACTACACCAAGCAAAAATTGCATCAGCGACGCGTTACGGAGTTTTCTTGCCTACTAATGTGCTTCACATCCTCTCTCCCTCTTTCTGTCTCTCTTTCTTTTTTTTTTCTTTTGCACAACGGGGTGTGCCATTTCTTTCCGCACGACATGTGCGATCGGCAATCTATTTTCCAAGAGGCCTTGTCGACACGAGGCAGCATTCAAAGAGAGGATGTGGATGTGGATGGGCTTTTTTTTTGGGTTGCCGACGAGATACCAAAGTAGTAACACGCATGTATACAAATGTAATGACAACCATGTGTCTCTCCTGGGATTAAATTTTCCTCCCGCAAGAGAAAAATCAACCATATTGCCCCGCGCTTCATCATCGCTTGATCATGCGAATAATATGGACATGGATGATGAGTATAACCTCGTCAACCCCAGTCAATGTTCCGCGCACAGGAATGTACAAAATCGCCAAGCCCACCTCCCCGCACGCCCACCCGCGTGAGAATAAGGTGTGGCGAAAACTGCCTCACCCCAACCGCATTCTCGCCTCCCCCCTTCTTCTTCGACAGGAGGACAGGAATGGAGGGGGGCACGGGGCACGGGGCACGGGGCACGGGGCACGGGGGGAACGGGGGAAAGGCCCGGCCCGCGCAGCTCTGGCATTGGGGGCCGTCTTTCGATCGGGAGGGGGCACCACCACAGAGTCACCACCACCCCCTCCCTCTTCCCCCCCCCCTCCCCGAATCGAGCAATGTTTCCCCTTGGGCACGTTTCCTCGCCCTGCTCTCTCGGCCCCTTCATTCATCGTCTCTGCGCAGAGTCTTACACGAAAAAGGGAGGACAGAAAACGACGGAGGCATTCGGGTAGGAGGTAGAGCAGAATACACAGTGGTAGAGGGACTGGCATTGTCTGTTCGATTCGCGTTCACCCCCCCTTCGCTCCCTCCTGCTTCTGTCTAGTCACTCGCTGCCGCGCCGCAACCCACCATGAGCCAGTGCCGCCGGTTAGACTACCGTGTCGACGATGGAGCAGCTCGACTCAATCTCAATCAAGTGGGATGACTGCGTGGAGGAGGGCGAAAATGGGTTCCTCTGGTGGTGGGAGACCAGGAGAGAACGCCTCTGCCGATTCCGATCCGGGCATCTCCGCCTGCATGCGGCTAGACCCGGCCGTCGTGGAGTGGTGGCAGTGCCGGGCCGTGTGTGCCGGTGCAGGTGTTTGTCGCCGACAGATCTCATGTTGGGACACTGTACTGATCGCCGGATCGGGCTTACTCGGAGAGCCCTCGAGTGGTCGACAAGTCACTTTTGTCTTTGTCTACCCCCGTTTCATCAAACGCACGTGTGACCGTGTGAGAGATCTCATTCAGAGAAGATGTATTGAATGCCTCGTCTGCTCCCAGGCCGTATATCAACCGCATTGCATCACCGCCCAAACACGACCTCCGTGGCTGCCTGGTCCTTCTTCCCTTGCCCGCCCACCTGTCCTTGTCTACTAGTCATCGAATGGCCCTCGTACTCGTATGTACCTCCCATAACTTGCCGGGTATTTTCCATCCTCCGCCCACCTCTTTTGCCCCCCTGATAAGCGCCGTTGGCCCCTTCATTCAGAGATGTGGTCATTACGTATTAGTTAAAGAATCTCGCTCGTGGATGCGGTGTGTATGATTGCGTGAGTTTAGTTGGAAGTAATTGTTGCTGAGCACTCGCGTGCAAAAGCCGGTCCAGGGTCTTGGCTCCATGCCTGTCCGGTGTCGAGAGGGGGAAGAAGAAAAGTTAAGGAAAATGGCGTCGAAGCTCTGATGTCGTGCTGTGTGCACACAAAGTAAAATAGCAAGGAACGTTGTACATGGTCCCCCGAATAGGGGACTCTTCTGAAGATATGTTGCTCGCTGAGGAATGAGACGTGATCAAGAATGGCCCATGGAGTGACTGCAGCGTATGTACTGGTACTGCTTGATGGTTCAGGTGCGGTCTACTCGGCATGGAAATCTTGCGCCGTCATGTTGGTGAACTGAAAGTTTCTGGATCGGGACTGGTCGTGAGACGCTTTCAAGGAAGCATCGCACCAGTTATACTCGGCATTACCTCCCTGGTACGATGGAAAGAAAGCCGGACCCATGTTGGCGGGAGGGTATGACGGTGTTGAGGGCTGGCTCCCACAGCCTGGAGCGACGTAGCTTGGGAGACTAGCGGGCATGACTGGGAACTCTGCTTCAAATCCACCGAGGCCCGGGGTGACCAGAGGCTCATCAGAAAGGCCGCTGTAGTCAAAGTTGGTTTGCAAGTGTGTGTTGGGAAACATGACGCCAGAGAAGTTGCTCATGAGGCCAGGTGTATCAGGCGGCGTGCGCATGGTGGGATCCATGTGGAACTGCGCAGAGGGAAGCCCGCCCTGGAATGTGTATCGCTTGTCCTCCTCAGAAGCGGAGGATGACGCCGTGTGCTCCCTGGTGGCTTGTGTGTCGATAATGACTGGCGTGTTGGGTGTCGGCGGCGCCGCTGAGCAGTGCGGCCCAGTTGCCACTGGGGTACGCACCGCCATCTGAAGCAGTAGGTTCTCTTGGTTGCGGTCGAAGTACATGGGAGACCGGGGCGTCGCGCTCACGGGCTTCTGGATTCCTCGAGGAAGGCTGCCCGTAGCAGAGGCAACACGACGCATGGGGCTCGGAAGCTCCGAGCGACGCGGCATCTCCATCCCCGTCTTCATGCCAGCTTGGTTGTATGAGAAGCTTCGCATGCATCCAGTTCCGAGCTGAGCGGGCCGCTTCGTGTTGCGCCGACTGGCAATGTCCACAGGCGGAGATTTGAAGTGAAGGCTGGGAATGCCCGACATGGGTGACTGTGCAGAATCCGGCGACAGGTGCTCGTACTTCATAGCATCCGCGCTGCGAGCCTGAGCCTCGTCTAGGTTGACGGAGCCGTATCTTGAGGCAAAGGCACTCATGGAATCATCCATGTCGACGCCGCTCGACATGCTTTGGAAACCGGTGTACGAGGAGCCCGTCGATGATTCTGGGGCTGTGGAGGCGTAGTGAGTTGGAATGGAGAGGGTGAGGGGCCCAGGCCCTTGCTGCTCGGGCATCTCGACTGATGAGATGGAAGAAAAGTCGCAAGGCGACTGTGAGGGGTAGAACATGCCGTCTGATGATGAGAAGTCGTTGAAGTTCTGCTCAGGCGCTTGGAAAGTGGAAGACGTAGGCGATGTGCTGTCCGTGTCCAATTCGATATTCGACTCGCCGGGTCCTTCCAGAGGCATGTCTGCGGTCTCGGTGGGTTCAGGGCTCGCAGACGAGTCCATGGAAGGGAAAGGGGCGGCTGATGGACGAAGGTCATCGTGATGGTCGTCGTCAGGATAGTACTCCTTCACTACGTCCTGGTTCGGCTGATCCGCCGCTTGCTCCGACTGTCGGCGAGCCTCGTTCTCTTGGGTGCGTTTCTCCTGCTTGGCCTTGGCTCGTCTGTTTTGAAACCAGTTCTGCAAACATGTCAGCGAGATGTGCGGGCCGGTGAGGCGTGATTTGGGTTGAGTAGGGGGTCAGTACGTTGATTCTCGCAATATCCACCCGCATCTCCTCAGCAAGCTGCTTCTTCAAGCTGCTGTTGGGCTTGTGGTTCCTCTGAAACTCGCGCTCCAGCTTGTCTACTTCATCCTTGGCTAGCCTGGGTTTCGTCTCGGTGGTCCTTGCGCCGTGCTGGATCATGGCATGGCGTCTCCAGGCTTCAGCATTGGCCTGATACTGCAGGGCGGTGTTCGATGGATATTGTCCATTGTTGTAGGAGCTGTACTGGTAGACGGGATAGTTTGTGAAGTAGTTCATGGTGACGGCTTGTGGCCCTAAGGCGGGTGGTCCAGGCAGAGTCGGGGTTGGGTGTGGTTGAAGCAGGATGCCTTGATACACAATGGGGCAACGAGCGTGGTGGGAAAACGAGAGACAGTGAAGGCAGTCAGTCTCTCAAGCTGCGTAGCTGGTTGCTCGTGTCGACTCCTATTTGAAAGAAAGACTGAGGGTCGGTAAGGCGCCCAAAAGGCGGTGGAGTTTCGAGTCTGTTGTAATGAGTGTGGTGGTTGTGTTGGAGGAGCAGGCTCTCGAGTCGTTTCAAGAAGAGGATCGATGGGGGGGACTCGTCGAGGTTAAGACAGAGTCCGACCTGGACGAAGCTTCGGAAGGGCGGGCTAGGAGGAAGGGTAGGGAAGAAGGGTGAGGGAAGGGTACGGATAGAGTGAGACAGAAGACTGCCAAACGTGTTCCCCCAGATCAAGGTACGATGCGCCTTTCCCTGTAAAGGAGACCCTCAGTCGTTTGAAAGAACCTCAAACAGGGAAAAACAAGGAGCAGAGAATCCACCACATGAGTC